TTTTTCATGCTCTCTTGAGTCTTTGACGTCTGTGAGTTAAGTATCTGCAGCCATAAGGCTGAGGAAAATATTGAACGGCTCTTGGCCTTTTTCTATTTCATCCTCTGACCCGCCATGTTACCCATGATTGGTGAAGGAGAACTCTGGCAGGCTGTGTCAAAAGTGACAGCCGATCGAGTCGGGATGAGCGCCATCACGCTTCACAGAACGGAGGCTTGAGTTCTGAGTTTTCCTCCTTTTTGTGCAATATACCATTACACCCTTCGCCAGATTCCTTTCAATTAAATCCTGTGGTTAACCTGTTCCATTCTTACATCTATAGCTGATAGAAAAAAAAGTTTTACACAAGTCCTGTGCAAGTGAAGAGATATCACATGTGCCAAAGGAAACAAGTCAAGTTGAATTAGAAATATTTTTATTTATTTATTTATTTTTACCTTTGTCTCATTTGATTGTTTCTTCCAGGATGAATGAAATAACCTCCAACATATTCTATAAATGCTCAATTCATTCTTCATATTAGAGTTGGAGAATAGGTGGAACTCCAAATGACTCCTACTTTACGCAACAATGATTTATGGTAATTGGAAATTGATTGTGACAGGAGCACAGTATTAGAAATTTTCTCAAATCACTATCTTGTATCAGGGGAAATATTCTTTTTAGTGCAGCAGATCCTTGGCTAGTTTCAGAATTAGTTTCTTATTTCCTTACCTGTGATTGAATAGAAAATGGCTGAAGGACAGTGTGATTTATGCAGTCAAAAGATAATGAAAGAGCAATTCTACTTTAACCTGGTTTGAATTGTTTATTTAAACTTAAACTTATTGAAGCATTTTTTATTATCACTACTCATGATGGTCATATAGGAGATGACAGACATTTTAAGATAATATTGGTTCTTTTTTTTCCCTTAGGGTAATTATTCTAACACTTATTGCACATTTTTAATATATAAGCAACACAGGTGTGTCAGTCTGAAGTTTTTAAAGAGTTTTTAAAGAGGGATGAGGTTCCACTGATATGTTGCAGAAGCTACATCTCCACAACAGCCCCATGCTCTTTTAAAACAATCCCTCCTTGCACCTAGAGGTGACACACTTCAACTCTGCTGTTGTTCCCCTTTCACTTATTTATTTATATTTGCTGTTGTTTACCAGCCATAACATGTACTGCATTGCATTAACTTTTACGACTGTCAAAGTTGTATCGCTCAGACACCTTTTAAAGCAAACGCATCTGCCAGCAACAGCAGAGGGAGAGGGAAATTAGCCACGGTGACAAGTCTGAAGTGCGAGCAGGAGGTCAAAGGTGCCAAATCTTAAGCAAAGGTGCGCTAGCCTTTGTCCGGTAGATTGTAAGGGCCTGCGGGTCCAACAGGAACATTTCCACACACAATATCCCCAAGCTGTCAGTGTGCAGCGTCTGGAACATCCTCTCAGAGAGAAAGAGGAGATGTGGAGGGGTAGAGGAGGTTATGGTGGTGGGAGGATGCGAGTTGGAGGTGAGAAGGGGGAGAGAGGGAAGGAACAGTGGCCTGGAGATCCTTGCTGAGAGAAAGAGGGGCGGTGTGGGTGAGGAGGGGTTGTGGGGAGGCATAAGAGCTGGTGTGGGAGGACGGAGAAATAGAGAGGGGGAAATGAGGAGGGAAAGCTGGGGGAGGAAGGGGGAGGGAGGGATAGAAAGGAGAGACAATGACAAGTAGGGGCTGGCTGGGCACTCACCCATGCCGACAGAGATTGCCATGAGCCATGGCCATTGTTTGAGCGGGTCTCAGCGCAGAGCCCGCTGGTGGGTTTCAGAGTTTTCACCGCTCGACTATAAACTGCCGTGTGGTTTATTTACAAACGAGAATATTTACACCTTTTACTGTATTTACACCCGCTGTTAAACGGCACCCGAGAGATTTTCATCACACAGCCACAAACTAGCAGCAGGCCGAGCGGGTTCTCTGAAAACTGACCTGCTCAGTCATAACACTCCAGTAAACCTCAGCTTCACGTGTCCAATATAAAACGCTGCTCAAACTGTGACCTGCACAAGTGTAAAAAACACTTCAGGGCCATGTTGTTACGGCAGGCAGGAGAGAGACAGTCTGTGTGTTTAACAAAGTAAATGTCTATTATTAATACCATACAGGATAAGCCAATTTTGAAAAAGGGGCACTTAAATGGTTTGTATTATTTATTTATAAGTCCTGTACACCAGTTAATGGAATTGGCAGCCTGCTTTAGAATCCGCAACACAGCTTGAGGTCCACTTTGGAGTAATGCACATGTTAAGAGAGGACCTTCCCAGTAGGGTCTTTAAGTGTCAAATATGGGTCAGCCTGCTTGCGTTGACCTGGGGGGTGGTCAGCAGCAGAGAGAAACTCAGCTGTTAAGTGATGCCAACTCAACCATCGACAAATTCCTCCAAGTATCTACTTCTAAGATGCACATCCAAGCGCAGTGCTTTGCTGGCCAGCACGACTATGCCTGAGAAAATAAGATCCGTTTATTCTTGTCTTGAACTCTAAACCCAAACAGAGTTGGAACTCTTGATGAAGCTGCGCTCATAACTTTTTCTAACTACTTCTGGAAACTCTTTTTGTTGGTTTTCAGAAATTGTCTTTTCGTCTTAACGAAATATAAGCACTTCCGCTTCTACACTCAAAGTTTTTCTTTCATGTTTTGTCTTTTTACACTTCATAGACACCTACTTTAAGTATACTGTAGAAATTATCTGGATTCTGTTCTTATATTTCTGTGAATGTTTATGAAGCATTCACACTATTGTGATCCATTTTACTTCCGTATATTTATCAGCATCTTTCTCATTCCGTAAGTTTTGTGCTATTTCAACAAATCATATATCAAAACGTTCAGCTCGTTCAGGAGAAGGGTGCTATCTATGACTTTTGGTATCGGTGCAACTTTAGCTTTTTGAAATGTAGGCCTGTCGCGATAAACAATAAATCAATTAGTCGCATGATAAATGAAAATTATCGACCTCATTTTCATTTATCGGCTTTATCATTTCTTCGTGTCTCTCTCTTTCTACTGAAGACACTGGATGACATAGCTTGACTCCGGTGCTCTTCACTGACCCCTCCCTTTCTTTTTTTCTCTTTAAAATCCATTGTAACCGTCCAAAATCACGTTTTTGTATCGTTAAAAGCTGCTACGCTACAAGCTAAGCTAACAGGCCGACCACGGGGACCAAACCTCTGTTTTTTTCAAAGCTCCAAAATTCATGGTTGAAACCCGTACCTTCGAGTAAAAAGTTGTTTTTCTCTGTAAAAAAGAAGCAGAGAACTTGTTTACAAATTTTATTATTAAAAGCTTTGTGTGAAAAATGCTATGCTTAAAGAGCTCAAACCACACCGAGCATCCACCATTTTGAGAACCAGACAGAAAAGGAAGGAGAGACAGCCCATGTCGGGGGTCTCCCTCCCATTTTTCTTAAAGAGACAGCTGCTCGCTCCCTCACTATCCATCCTTTGGTTCAAACTGTCTTATACTGCCATCCGGTGGTCAAAAAACATACTACATTCAAAATAAAATTTACCAACATTTCTTCTTAAATTTGACAATAATTACTAATTATTGTCAAATTTCAAACAATCGCCCAGCAAAATATGTTATCGTGACAGGCCTATTGAAATATTTAGCCTTTTCTGCTGCTTTTTTCCCTCAAAAGAAATTAATTGAGCTCATTTTACATCCTTCGTATCTTTAGATCTGTTTACAAACTTTTACTGCTCCTTTCACATTTTGTTCTGGATTAGCTTCTTTCAGCTTCCTTGTGCAAATTGAAATTTTTTCCAGCTACTTTTAGCTAACTTCAGCTGTTTTATTGGCTGTTTTGTGCGCCTTTCAGATTCTTTCTCCTAGCTATTTTTTTAGTTCTTCTAACTTCTTTCTGCTAATTTCAGTCAGTTATGCTTCTTTTAGCTTATTTCTGCAAGTTTCAACTGTTTCTGCTATTTCAGCTACTATTTAGCTGTTTTATGCTAATTTTAGCTTTTGTAGCTAATTTCACATTCACTCAACTTTTTTCATCCTAATTCAGCAAAAATGTGCTCTCCACTTCCTTCTTGTAATTTCAGTTTCTTTCTGTTTTTTTTTCCTACTTTTCAACTGATTTTATTCTAATTTCAGCTTTTTCCAGATAATTTCCACTGTTTTTTGCTAATTTCTGCTTCTTTGTTTGGGAAAACATGTTATTTCTGCTTTCTTCTGCTAATTTAAACTTGTTCTACCTTTTCAGCTATTTTTAGCATTGTCTTTGCTAATTTCCCGTTTTCAAATAAATTCAAGTTTTCCGTGGTAATCTGCTACGTTTAGTCTAACTAACTTCTCTCTGCTAATTTCATCTTGTTTTGGTCCTTTCAGCTTTTTTCTGCTAATTTCTGCTTTTTCTGCTATTTCAGCTTCTATTTAGCTGTTTTGTGCTAAATGTCGCTTTTTCAGCTAATTTCATTTCGGCTCTTTCCACTTCCTTCTGGTAGTTTAAGCGTCTCTGTATTTTCAGCTACTTTTCAGCTATTTTTTGCTCATTTCATTTTTTAAAGCTAATTTCCTCATTTTTGTGCTCATTTCTGCTTATTAAACCTAATTGAGCAAGTATGTGTTTTTATGCTTTCCTCTGCTAACTTAGGTTTGTTCTTCCAGCTACATTTCAGCATGTTTTAGCTAATTTCAGCTGTTTATCAGCAAGCTCTTCAGCGACAAGTATTCACTTTGCATTTTCACAGGAAATGCAATTTCTCTAGTTTCTTTTAGTTTTCACTTTTCTCATACATGCAAAGCACACCTCGATATGCGTAACTTTAGATTTTAAACACGTCTGGATTAACAGCTTAAGTTTTATTCAGCAAATGATGCCATCTTGCATCTGTGTCACATGTTATTGTACTCTTGTGACACTTTTTAAGGCTGTTCAACCAAGAATTGGGTATTATGATTGCTCCTCTGATCCCCATCTTGCCTCCCCATCCCGCCTTACATCCCTCACAGGAGCAGCGAGGCCCCCCTGAGCTGTGTGGTCAACGACAGCCCGGCAGAAACGAGCCCCGAGATGCAGCGCTGCGTTGAATGGCTCCAGGCGTACTTCAGTGAGCCGCAGACCGCTGGGAGTCTCCCGCTCCCTGCCTTTCACCACCCCGCCCTGCAAGGAGGTCTGTCATGGATAAATATTTGCAGAGCCATGACTGGGATCAGGCTTTCACTCTTGTCAATTACATCACTTACACTCACTGGCTCACTGTGTTATAATGAAGTATTTTATGGCTGAGAGGGAGAATGGAGGAAAAGTGGGTGGTGTGTGAGCGGCGGAGAGAGAACAGAACACAGAGCTGTAACTTGGTTCAGTAATCTGTGGCAGCTCTTACCACGCGTGTTAGTCTTGGCAAGCTTTTTCATGATTCTTGGCACATTCTTTGAAACTGATCGAATTCCACTTTTGACATTTTCAGACAGGAAGCTTTCTTTTATTTTCTTTTTCTTGATTTTTTTTTCTTTAAATGAGAACATGTGAAAGGTGGCACAGTTTGAATGAGCATATTGTTGGCGTGATCAGTCACCTTGGGTGTGTAAAAGAAAAGCACCCCAACATTGGTCAATTAACGATCCTTCGACTGGTTGCGTTTGCAGCTTTAATGATTGAGGATACTGGAAAAAAATATAATTATCTGTATTTTTTGTGTGGGTGGGGGGTTGGAGGACACTACAGTAACCTTATAATGTAATTATATCTGGGTGTCCAAATACTTCTTTAAAACGTCTTCATTTAATCCAAAATGCTGCTGCCAGAGTCTTAACTGGAGTTAGTAGGAGGGATCATCTCTCTCCAGTTTTAGTTTCTCTCCATTGGCTCCCTGTCAAATCCTGAATTGAATTCAAAATCTTAACTTCTAACCTACAAAGCTCTCAACAACCTAGCTCCATCTTATATTACAGATCTTGTTGTTCCATATTTTCCTAACAGAGCACTTCGCTCTTAGCCTGCAGGTTTACTTGTGGTTCCTAGAGTTTCCAAAAACAGAATGGGAGGCAGATCTTTCAGTTATCAGGCTCCTCTCTTGTGGAACCAACTTCCAGTTTCTGTCCATGAGGCTGACACATTGTCCAGTTTTAAGACTGGGCTTAAGACTTTCCTTTTTGCTAAATCCTATAGTTAGGGTTGGCTTTGGTTTCCTGAGCTATCCCTTAGTTATGCTGCTTTAGGCTTAGACTGCTGGAGGACAAACTGACCAGTTTTTTTTTCACTATGCTTTTTTTACTTACTCTGCTCAACCTCTTTTGTATTTGTAATTATTTTTTCTATCCTTAAAATGTGTTTTTGTCTGTCAGGTTCACCTGCACCTACTGTATACCTGGACCTACCATTCTGTGTTCATCTGTCTCTCCTTCCTGTTCTCTCAAACCAGCCGGTCAAAGCAGATGGCCGCTTGTCCTGAGCCTGGTTCTGCTGGAGGTTTCTTCCATTTAAAAGGGAGTTTTTCCTTTCCACTGTTGCCACTGTGCTTGCTCAGGATGGGAGATTCAACTTGTCTGCTGGCTTCCTTAGATAGAGAACTTTACTAATTGGCTTTTCTATGTATGTGAATGTTCCTGTAAAGTGCCTTGAGACAACTTTGTTGTGATATGGCGCTATATAAATAAACTGAATTGAATTGAATTAATTTTTGTGAAATCATGGTTGTAAATTTGTGCCATTTTTGAAACTATTACTGAAAATCTTATGTCGCTTTGCATTTTAACTTAAATATTTTCAGATGAGCTCATTTACCCCCACAAACACATACACAGGAAAGGGGGGAAAAACTCTAATATATGCATTTATCAATTGTGCCTCCCTTCCCCTGCAATCAGGCCTTAGTTGCTCTCTAATTTCATGCAGATCTGCAGTGCTTGAGTGATGGCATTTTCAATGAGCAGGTGCTCCGTCGAGACTTTGTATACAGCTAAGAGTCCCACGCTCCCGCAAAGGCAATGCAGAAATACATCAGGACCAATTACGATATCAACTTTCAGTGTGATTCCCTTCGCCACCAAGTGCTTGTGTACCAGCCCCAGGCTCTTTCAAATCGCATCTCATCTGAAGTCTTTGGGGTTTTAATTAAATTTCAGGATAGATGGAATTCTTCATTAGTACCTGATCTGAATAGGTGATTGTGCTGTGTTCCACCTCTTTCCCTCGCCTGTTGTTTTGGGGCTCTGTAAATACAGGATTTAGGCTTGGATTGCTCTCAGTAGTCAGAACCATAGGCCGAGGCAGTAAAAAAAAAAGTTAAATGTGAGCATCAGGAGTATTTGTCTTTTGAGGAAGGAAAATAAAAAGCTTTCCTTTTTTTTTTTTTTTACATGTTGATCTACAGATAATAATAATTAGATTTAGCCTTTTTTGCTGTACATATTTCCCCCTGATCGAGTCACGCTGCCGCTGCCAGTCTAGAAAGGGGGAGAAGAAAAAAAAACAAGTTTAATCAGGTCATTACAATCTGTGACAACCAACTTTTGTTTGCTCAGTTATCTTTGGGGAGAACCTGAATGCGACAGCGCTCTCGCAGCGCTTGTCATGTAATATTGAGTTGTGACCTTCACTTGAAGTGTTGCCATGTTTATTTACACATTTCTGACAAAACAAGCCACTTTTCATATTAGCTGTCATGACATACCTGAGAAACAGAGGTGACATGAAAGGAGAGTCGAGGCGCGGCTTTCTATAGTGTCTGACTGTCATGCGCAACATCACACACGAGTTTGGTCAACAGGGGTAAAGGAATGGTAAGAGCATGCGTGTGTTATGCTCGGTTAGCTTAAGTGTGTGTGTGCGTGCACTTACATTCGCTCCCCCCCAAAAACACAGACGCCAACGTGAGTTCTTAAAACGATGCATATTCTTATCTCATTAATTATACATCCATATGTAACAGACGAGAGGATCTTAGTCTCGGTAAGCGGCACGGGAAATGTGCAGGGAGGGGGCCAGGCAAAGGGGGGAAGGGCACTCTTCAAAGCCCAAATGACTGTGTTCCTGCAGGAGCCTGAACCTCCCCCTGTGCACAGTGCAGGGTGAGATGAGACACTCACCAGGACTCGCCCCTGTGATGTGGAGAGGAATTAGGGAAATGAACGTTTTCAGAATATCGAATAATCAGAGAATCATCAGCACCCCGTCAGCCTTCAAAAGTATGGATCCCTCAAGACTCAAGAGACACTTTGACTGGGAGTCAAAGTCTTCCCTCCCATTAGACACAAAGGATAATGAGGTAGCTGCATTTCCACTATTGTCTTTTTTACCCTCACAACCATGTAAGAGGTGACTGTCAGCTGGAGGTCGTCTCTTCAAATCTTTCATCAGCACTGCTGATGGAAATCAGTTTATCATTTTCTTTTTTTCTCCTTCTTGGAGATTGCTTTCATATACAAAATTATGAGCAAATCAATCATATATGTCAATAGCCTCATAATCGCTAGATGCATTCGATTTTTCTCCAGCTAAATCTATCACTGCTTCTGCTGCAGCCCCATCACCTGGCCTCATGGTAGGTAATGACCTGTGACATAATTATGGGACGTCTGTAAACATGTAAGTGGTTTCCCTCAAGTTTTATTTAAACAATTGACATCACTGCACCCCCGATCTAAAGAGGGTCCTGACCCCAGACACACCGTATTAGGCTCTTTATGAAGTATGGGGCTGGGGGACTGCTCTCCAAATCATTCCTGGTCACCTTGAGTGACCTGCATGAAGTCTCTGTCACAAACACTGATGAGGGCAAAGTTCTTTAACCTCTGTATGTGCAGTTAAAAGCACCAACACTTGTTTTTTTTTTGTTTTTTTTATCCACAACTGCTGGAGATGTGAAGTGTTTAAAGGAGGCAGGATTTGGGAAAAACAAGTTTAAAGAGCATCATAGCTTGTTGTACAGTTAGGCCTGTCACGATAACAAATTTTCCTGGGCAATTAATTGCCTTGCGATAAACGATAATATTGTTTGAAATTTGACAATAATTAATAATTATTGTCAAATTTAAGAAGAAATGTTTGTTAATTTCATTTTGGATGTAGTATCTTTTTTGACCACCAGATGGCAGTATAAGACAATTTGAACCGAAGGATGGATAGTGAGGGAGTGAGCAGCATGTCTCTTTAAGACAACTGGGATTCTTCCAGTTCTCAAAATGGCGGACGCTCGGTGCGGTTTGAGCTCTTTAGCATAGCATTTTTCACACAAAGCTTTTAATAAAAAAACAGTAAACAAGTTCTCAGCTTCTTTTTGCAGAGAAAAACAACTTTTTACTCAAAGGCACGGGGTTCAACTGTGAATTTTGGAGTTTCGATAAGACTGAGGTTTTTTCCTGAGTTTAGCCTTTTAGCTTAGCTCGTAGCTTAGCTTCTCAGCTTAGCTGCTTTTAACGATCCAAAAACGCGATTTTGGACAATTAAAACAGATTTTAAAGAGAAAAGAGAAAGGGGGGGATCATTGAAGAGCATCGGAGTTGAGCCTTTTGCCATCCAATGTCTTCAGAGAGACAAAGAAACGATAAAGCCAATAAATGAAAATGAGGTTGATAATTATCAGTTATCATGCGATTAATTGATTAATTGTTTATCGTGACAGGCCTATGCACAGTGTGCCGCCGTGACGCCAACTTTGGTTGTTTGCCAATAATGTTCGCTTCAACAGGGATTTGTCATCACCTTAGTCTGAGTGGCTGACGTCCGCCCATCAGTAAAGCGGTATCAATATGTACCGCACACATCATGAGGCCAAATCCAAGCTTTAGGAGGGAGAGCGGCGCATAAAAGAAATGTTCGTGGTGTATCTTATCTCCTCGTAACATTAAGGCTGTCTGTGTAAGAGCCCGTCAGCTCGTTGACAGCGTGATTATTACCTGAAAAATTATTAAACAGTACCTACGGGCCTTGTTCAAGACAAAGAACTCACATGGGTGTGCATCAATCAAATGTATCCCCTTTAGGTTTTACACTTATTCCCCCCAGTTTAGGCAAATTGCCTTGTTCGCGTGGCTTTGTGTAGCAGAGAGTGACTATAAGGTAGCAAGGGAGCCTGGGGAGCAAAGGATGTTCACTCTGTAGAAGAGAGACAGGGGTGTGACATGTTTTCACACAATGCCAATTTAGAGGGATTTCACATAGATCAGTTGTCATGTGCTCTCTTAGACCATATAAATGAGAGAGAATGGGAGATCACTAATTGAATTTTCATGACTGAGTACATGTATAAACTAGAAGAATTTCACCCAGTTTTGATAACAAGACATTGTTCCTCATCTTGTCCTCTTTTTTTAATATAAAAAACAGTTTTTCACTTGCACACAAGCTCAGTGCATCGGTGTCTTAAGGTTTCGCTTTAAATACTTTTTTCTTTAGCAGTCAGACAAACATGCCTTTCAGTCACTGTCTGGTAATCCAAGAAAAAAAAAACGATAATGCTACTGCTAAAGTGCTAATGAAATCAAAGCCGTTAATGTGGTCGGCTAAGCTGCGGATGATTTGAAGAATTCTGCCATTTAAGTGAAGATGATATAATGAATCTACTCTGAATAGAAAGCAATTAAAAGGACAAATTGGTCTGATTAACCTCAAAGTCATCCCACTGCCACAAATGGTTTGCAACATTCAAATTATTATTATTAAAAATCTGGAGCAGATTTGCAGTCGTTTTGGCCTCTCTTAATCCTTTTAAATGAAGGAGCGAACTTTTTTAATTTTAGCTGTGACCTTTCCAAAGCATAACCTAGATTTTTCTGCCACAGGAATAATTTTCTCACATCAGCTTGTGTAGCATGTTAATACTGGATCTAAGGTCAAAGTGGGGGGACTTCTATGTATTTAGTCTTTTTTTTTAATGAGTGTTGTGAAGAAAAGGAAGAGGGAGAGAAACGAATGGACATGTTGGCATATATACGCTGGGTTGATGTTGTAAAAACCATCGTACACTTTTTGTTTTCCGAACTTTTGATTCATTTAAAAGAACACGATGCATGTTCAAAGCGTGCTCATGTCACCAGGCTCTCAGTCAGCCGTCTTAGTTTGAGAGATAAATCTTTTTTTCTGTGTTCTCTGTCTGTCGCCCTTCCTCTCTGTCCTCTGCTGCGTGGCGAAGATGCGTTCACCAGCCGCGTGCTCCACATACTTCTGAAGAATGTGAAGTTTGGAGAGACGGTCTCGTATAAACGCCTCGCTGAGATGGCGGGAAACCCCAAAGCGGTGCGGGCAGTGGGAGGGGCTATGAGGAAGAACCCGGTGAGTGTGGCTGACATTGATTGACAAGGCAGACTTCTGTCTTTACTGGCTTGATTTTACTCTTTTATTTATTTATTTATTGCAGGAAAACAGGAGTTTTGTGTGTGTGTGTGTGTGTGTGTGTGTGTGTGTGTGTGTGTGTGTGT